CTACTTGTACCCACGTGCTTGCTAGTTCATTCATCCCTCGTTCTTTCACAGAACCTAAAAGGAAAAAAACATTCTCCTTATTTTGCGCCCCTGCTTACAGCGTACACGACTGTTCCCGCCAAAAGTACCCAACAGAAAACCGTTACCATCTCGCGACACTCGCATCGACTACTGTTTTTGCCACTGTTCACATCGCGACCCAACCTCATGGCTCGGCTGGTAACCTGCGCTCCAGCCCTCCGCCTCGACAATTTCCAACCTCGACACCAGGCCCCACACACTCCACAATTCGCTCGTCACCGTTACCACACTAGTTCATTCTCGCTCTTTCCTTCGCTCAATGTATTGTTTTGCTTCAATAATGCAATCTTTGTTTGTTCACTCAATTGCACTAGTAACAAAAACGAAATGGATAATCCAATGCTGCAAAACAAATTTCACACCGTTTCGTTGTCGAGGTGCATCGCGCAACTTCACCAAGGCATCATCTGCGGCCAGGTTCCACTGCGCTATCCGAACTCCTATTACCCGCTTCGTCAACAAGGCACGGGCTTTAGATGGCGTTCACAGCAAGTTCGCTCAAAGCGAACCGCGCTCAACAACAGTGCACAGATATTTGTGAATCACGTGTTTGGGGTTGCTTCACGAAAAGTTGTTCAAAACGATCTTGAAGTTGCTGGGGTTACATGCTGTTGATTGGGTTTGCTATTTCGCTCAAAATCGTCTACCTATGTATCCACATTCGCATGGCCCGTGGAGTGGGTGTGGTCGGTTGCAAAACTGCCACGCTGGACCGAATATTCGCCCTGCGCGGTTCGCTTTGGGGGAACTTCGCTTGAGCGAACTTGCTGTGAACGCCATCTTAGCTGACAGGCCGCCCCTCACCCAAGCCTCCCATCCCATTCCATCCCATCCCAACGGCTGCTTGCAACTATCAACAGATTTGCTCCAAACCCTTGTTTGGAGATTCGTTGTTGCATACGTGGCCACCATTTGCTCGAATGGTTCTCAAATTCAGTGATAATTTCTCGAGTGGCCTCGCCAAGTGATTCTCAACGTCTTTTTTTTAGAAGGAACATTACCCTTCAGGGGTATTTATCCTCGAAACTTTTGTATCGGTTATTGCGCGATCTTTTATATCCCAAAATCTATGTTCGTGACCCTATATGACCGCGCCTGATTGGATGCGCATATAATCGACCAATCCTTGTCAGAATGTTATCTTATGCTCTAGCCTGTAGTGGGGTGCTCTATAGCGAGTACAACCCTTCTAGGGTTTGCTATTTGTATCCTCATTCTTGCTAGTGCAACCCTCTTCTCTCTTCTAATTTTCACATGCTATCAGAGCAGGTCGATCCCCTTGGATCGATCCTGTGGGTGGGCTTACCACCTCCTTGCTTCCGCTGCAACTACTACCACTACTCTCTGAGCCGCACGCCCCATGGCGTGCGGCAGTTTTTTTTTTTTTCTTCCCGCCGTGCGCCCCGAGGCGCGCGGCGGTTTTCTGCTCGCCGTGCGCCCCGAGGCGCGCGGCGGTTCTCTGCCCGCTGTGCGCCCCGAGGCGCGCGGCGGGCTTCTGCCCCGTCGTTTGGCGCGTCGCCCTGTGGAGGCGCCGCGACGGGCGACGGGGACCCGCGCGTCGCCCCCCGTCGCCCGTCGTGGCCTGCGCGCGGCCCGTACGGGCTGCGCCTGGCCCGCGCGCGGCCCGTACGGGCTGCGCCAGGCCCGCGCGCGACCCGTACGGGCGGCGCCAGGCCCGCGCGCGGCCCGTACGGACGGCGCCAGGCCCGCGCGCGGCTCGGGCCGCCTGCGCGCGGCTCGGGCATTTGTACCAGGCCCATGGTGGGCCCGTTCCTCGCTGCCCCTGCCCTCCGCGCTGTCCCCCAGTGCTTCTACTGGCGCCCCACCCCTCCTACTCCCCATTCTCCTGCATTAGGGTTTGGGGGTGAGGGGTATGGGGGTGACTTCACTCTGTACCGTTCCCTGCTCCTCCTCCTCCTCCGTCTACTTGTGCTGCAGCTGCCGTTGAGGGGGGTTGGACGTGTTGGAGCCGGTGGAGTGGTACTAAGGGGGGGTGAAGGGGAGTGGAGCTAGCAGTGTAGCAGCGGGTGTGTGCCGGGGGGGAGTGGGATAGTTTGGGGAAGCTGAATGGAGGTTGCCGTCGTGTCGCCAGCAGCACCTGTAGTCCGGGGAGTTGCTCCGGTAGCCCAGTCGTAGCCAGCTGTGCCAGCCGCCCGTGGGTCCGTTGCTCGTCTGCCGCTACTTTAGCCGCGGGGGCAGTTACTCCAGTATTCCGGAGCGTTGTTCCGGTAGCCGCTGTGCCAGTGTGCCTCCTGTTGCCCGTGTGTCTGCAGCTTCATCCGTCGCCTCCTATCTCCTCTCCTCTCACTCTCTCTCCTCCTCCTCACTTGCCCGTTGTGACTACCACTAGCTTTGCTCATAATTGTGAAGTTTAAACTATTGCTTCTTGAACTTGTGCTCAGAATGTGTGGTGACATTGTGATCCACCCTGAGCTTGTACTGCTTTGCTTGCTCTGCTGATTACACCCCACTTTGGCTATGGGGGTGTGTCAGAATGTTATCGTATGCTCTAGCCTGTAGTGGGGTGCTCTATAGCGAGTACAACCCTTCTAGGGTTTGCTATTTGTATCCTCATTCTTGCTAGTGCAACCCTCTTCTCTCTTCTAATTTTCACAATCCTGCGCGGCCATTAATGGTTGCGCGCATCATATTTTAATGCCCGATCATATATTTCCGCGGTCATAAGCTGCAATGCCCGGGCATCAAAGCGGGACCCTTAATGACCGCGCATGATTGGTCAATCCTATGAGCGGTGCCTTTTTTTGAAATGCGCGTCCAATCAGGCGCATTCATATAGGGTCACGCAATAATGAAGATCGCGCAATAACAAGTACAGGAGTTTCGGGAATAGAAACCCGTATAGGGTAATGTGCCGGGTGTAAAAAGGCCAGTGGGAAACCCCTGGCAAGGCCACTCGAGCAATTAGGGCGTGTCCGAAGTGCCCCTCGACATCCACCCGTCATCCATCCGTCATCGGATGGATGACGGTGGCGGATGACGAGGGATGACGGATGGATGACGGTTGGATGTCGAGTCACTTCGGACACACTGCCGGCGACATATCTGCCCAAAAAAATGCCGGCCGGCACTGTTGGCGCCGGCAGGGGCAGACCAGAGAAAATGTTAAATGTTCAAAATTGAATCTAACGAATTTCGCTAACATGTTTCGTCACCCCGTGCAGTCACAAAGGACAGTCGTTTGCCAAGAGATGCTTTCGCCATGTTTCCCCCTCAAAATTTGTTATCAAACTTTGGGTTCGTTGACTCCCTCGTTGACCAGCCCGATGTCACTGTTGGCGGCACCCTTGGCTGTAATGATTACACATGGCTGGATGACGGATGGATGTCGGTCGGATGTCAAATCACTTCGGACACAACGCCGGCCTGTAAATTTTCACCTACCACCCTGACATCCATCGACATGTCACTTCGGACCGCCCTTATCACTAAATTTGATAACCACGTGAGCTAATGGTGGCCACGTGGGCAACGCTGAATCTCCAAACAAGGGTTTGGAGCAAATCTATCGCAACTATCACTCCCAGAATACACGCAACCAAACCAGCACTTCCCGCACCACCATTTTCTGCCTAATTCACTTCGTCATTGACAGAACTCACGATCACGTTTGAGTTTTTTTAGCCATCGCCTTTCCACGAGCAGCATGACTGTCGATTCTGAAGGCAGTTGTGTTTGAAGTGTCTAGAGTAGTCTCAGAAACAGCGGGAACACGACGCGCGCCTGTTCCTTTGTCGGCAGTGCGAGCGCATGGAGTCGTTTCCTGCTTCGCGCCACCCGCTGCGCACCCGCTTGCACACTCAAACCACATTACGCTCCCCTACGTTCGACGTCTCGCTATCAGCTTCTTTGGCACTCTGTATCGCTACGGCTGTTGCGCATACCCGTTCGGCAGAGTGGGAGCCACGCGCGGAGCCGCGGTCACTTCGGCCGGCTCGTCGCTGCAACGAGCGGCGAAGAACCGAACGAGATTGTTGCGAACGACGCACATAGTGTCGGGGATAAGGGTGCAAGGGGGAATGCAACGGCGGAGAGCACGGAGCTGGCGGACATCCTGGCGCGCGTGCACGAGGAGATGGCGGAGGCCACCGGCGCCCAAGCGGACGGGCGCGCGTCGATCTTGCGGAGCATGGGGCGCGAGGGCGGCGGGGAGGGCGAGGCAGGCGAGCAGCTGCTGCAGGCGGAGGAGCAACGGCGCATGCGGGCGCCGGGGGACGCGGAGGAGGCGGAGGAGGACGCAGGGTCTTGGGAAGGAAGCGACGGCGCGCAAGGCGGAAAGGAATACATGTGGACATGGAGAGGTGCGAAAGGGGGTTGAGGGGAGTAAGGTCGATATGTTATACCCAATACCGTTGTAACACGTATTGACGATGTATCGCGTACACTACGGGCAACGCCTCTCGCTCCACGCACTCCTCGTTTGCTCCGCCCATGCTCATGCGCCCCCTTGACCTCTCCCTCCCCCCCCCCCCCTTTCCCCCCCCTCCCCTCCTCCTTCCCCCCGCCCGCAGGCTCCCCCATGGCGGGGGCAACGTGGGCGGGCGCGGGGGTAGCGGAAGGGGCGGGGGCTGGCAGGGGGAAGGAGGAGCGGGGGCGGCTGGGGCAGGGCAGAGCATGGGGGGAGGGATAGGGGTGGGTAGCGGGACGTACCTGCAGGCGCGTGCGCTGCTGTTGAACATGGCGAAGAGCATGGAGCAGCTTGAGAGTGGGCTGTCCATCCGCCACAAGGTACCCGTGTGTGTGCGCTGCCATGCCCCGTCACCGTGCCATGCTGGCCCACCACGTTGCCACGTACCAGCAGCGCCTGCATGCCTTGCCCCATAACCATCCGTAACTGTAACCATGCACACACATGCATCACACGCACAGACACACTCACCCGCACGCCTACTCTCCCCCCCATGCGTGGCATGGCATGGCATGGCATGGCGAGCAGGAGATGGGCGAGTCAACGCAGTTCATCTCGGGCATCCGCTCCAGCGAACCAGCTGCCGGCCAGGTGGGTGGCAGGCCACGTGGGTGGCAGGCCACGTGGGTGGCAGGCCACGTGGGTGGGAGACCACGTGGGTGGGAGGCCACGTGGGTGGGAGGCCACATGGGGGCAGGGCACGTGGATGGCAAGGCATGTGGGTGGCAGGGTGGGTGGATGGCAGGGCATGTGGGTGGCAGGGTGGGTGGATGGCAGGGCATGTGGGTGGCAGGGTGGGTGGATGGCAGGGCATGTGGGTGGCAGGGTGGGTGGATGGCAGGGCATGTGGGTGGCAGGGTGGGTGGATGGCAGGGCATGTGGGTGGCAGGGTGGGTGGATGGCAGGGCATGTGGGTGGTAGGGTGGGTGGATGGCAGGGCATGTGGGTGGCAGGGTGGGTGGATGGCAGGGCATGTGGGTGGCAGGGTGGGTGGATGGCAGGGCATGTGGGTGGCAGGGTGGGTGGATGGCAGGGCATGTGGGTGGCAGGGTGGGTGGATGGCAGGGCATGTGGGTGGCAGGGTGGGTGGATGGCAGGGCATGTGGGTGGCAGGGTGGGTGGATGGCAGGGCATGTGGGTGGTAGGGTGGGTGGATGGCAGGGCATGTGGGTGGCAGGGTGGGTGGATGGCAGGGCATGTGGGTGGCAAGGTGGGTGGATGGCAGGGCATGTGGGTGGCAGGGTGGGTGGATGGCAGGGCATGTGGGTGGCAGGGTGGGTGGATGGCAGGGCATGTGGGTGGCAGGGTGGGTGGATGGCAGGGCATGTGGGTGGCAGGGTGGGTGGATGGCAGGGCATGTGGGTGGCAGGGTGGGTGGATGGCAGGGCATGTGGGTGGCAGGGTGGGTGGATGGCCGGGCATGTGGGTGGCAGGGTGGGTGGATGGCAGGGCATGTGGGTGGCAGGGTGGGTGGATGGCAGGGCATGTGGGTGGCAGGGTGGGTGGATGGCAGGGCATGTGGGTGGCAGGGTGGGTGGATGGCAGGGCATGTGGGTGGTAGGGTGGGTGGATGGCAGGGCATGTGGGTGGCAGGGCATGTGGGTGGGGTTAACGGTGACTGGTGGGGTGCGGGGATGGGGTTGGTGTGCCTGATGCTGTGCTTCCCTAGTGCATGCTGTGCTCCTAGTGCATGCTGTGCTCCTAGTGCATGCTGTGCTCCTAGTGCATGCTGTGCTCCTAGTGCATGCTCACAGCATTGGTGGCGCCGGCAGCGGGCAGCGTCACTGGTGGGAGCAGCAGGTTGGGTGTGTGTGGTAGCAGTGTGGTCTGAGGCGCCTCAAAACACTACTTTTATCTGGTTGGGTGTGGTAGCAGTGCGTGCGTTTGCAGCCTGCATGAGGCATGGCTATGTGATGGCGTGAGGCAGCATGGGACTCCAATGTGGCAACCGCTGACATGTGCTCTGTGCTGACATGTGCTCTGTGCTGACATGTGCTCTGTGCTAACATGTGCTCTGTGCTGACAGGTGCTCTGTGCTGACATGTGCTCTGTGATGACATGTGCTCTATGCTGTGCATGGGGTGTGGCATGGGAATGGAATTGTATGGGCACATGGGCATGGCATGTGCGGGCATGGCATTGTGCGGGCATGGCATTGTGCGGGCATGGCATTTGCGGGCATGGCATTTGCGGGCATGGCATTTGCGGGCATGGCATTTGCGGGCATGGCATTTGCGGGCATGGCATTTGCGGGCATGGCATGTGTGGCATGTGCGGGCATGGCATGGTATGGGTATGGCATGGTGCGGGCATGGCATGGTGTGGGCATGGCATGGTGTGGGCATGGCATGGTTTGGGCATGGCATGGTGGGGGCATGGCATGGTGTGGGCATGGCATGGTGTGGGCATGGCATGGTGTGGGCATGGCATGGTGTGGGCATGGCATGGTGTGGGCATGGCACGGTGCGGGCATGGCATGGTGTGGGCATGACATGGTGCGGGCATGGCATGGCATGGCATGGTGTGGGCATGGCAGGGCGCAGTGGTGCGGAGAGCAGAGGAGAGATGGTGGCGCGCATGCAGGTGCAGTTCGCAGCCATGGAGAAGGAGGCGGCCCACAAGGATACTGTGCTCGAACGCCTGCTCACCAAGCCAAGGAAGTCCACCAAGCGGGCGCGCCGAGTCCGCCAGGCGGGCGCGCCGAGTCCGCCAGGCGGGCGCGCCGAGTCCGCCAGGCGGGCGCGCCGAGTCCGCCAGGCGGGCGCGCCGAGTCCGCCAGGCGGGGCGCGCCGAGTCCGCCAGGCGGGCGCGCCGAGTCCGCCAGGCGGGCGCGCCGAGTCCGCCAGGCGGGCGCGCCGAGTCCGCCAGGCGGGCGCGCCGAGTCCGCCAGGCGGGCGCGCCGAGTCCGCCAGGCGGGCGCGCCGAGTCCGCCAGGCGGGCGCGCCGAGTCCGCCAGGCGGGCGCGCCGAGTCCGCCAGGCGGGCGCGCCGAGTCCGCCATGCGGGCGCGCCGAGTCCGCCAGGCGGGCGCGCCGAGTCCGCCAGGCGGGCGCGCCGAGTCCGCCAGGCGGGCGCGCCGAGTCCGCCAGGCGGGCGCGCCGAGTCCGCCAGGCGGGCGCGCCGAGTCCGCCAGGCGGGCGCGCCGAGTCCGCCAGGCGGGGCGCGCCGAGTCCGCCAGGCGGGCGCGCCGAGTCCGCCAGGCGGGCGCGCCGAGTCCGCCAGGCGGGCGCGCCGAGTCCGCCAGGCGGGCGCGCCGAGTGCGAGCGCGCCGAGTCCGCCAGGCGGGCGCGCCGAGTCCGCCAGGCGGGCGCGCCGAGTCCGCCAGGCGGGCGCGCCGAGTCCGCCAGGCGGGCGCGCCGAGTCCGCCAGGCGGGCGCGCCGAGTCCGCCAGGCGGGCGCGCCGAGTCCACCAGGCGGGCGCGCCGAGTCCACCAAGCAGGTCCACCTCCTCCTTTCCTTCCTTCCTCACCTCATCCCTCTCGCTTTCTTTTCTTCATTTCTGCTTTCGCTTAAAAAATTTCCTTCCTGCTTGCGCGTGCATGTGCATGCGTGTGTGTGCATGGAGCGGGGAGCAGCAAATGAGGGTGGTGGAGGAGCGGTCGCGAGTGGAGAAGGACGAGCTGAGGAGGGAGATGGCGGAGCAGCAGCAGCGCATGCATAGGGTGCGCTATGCTGCCACACTCACGACCTGCCACACCACACTGCCTGCCCGCACCTCGTATTGCACCGCACTCTACCGCATTCAACATCCATATTGATAGCCTCTTTCGTCCTCCATCCCCCATCTACCATTCCTCTCACTCACATCCTTGTCCTTCCTCTTCACCTTCCGTTTCCCTCCCCTGAATTGCCTCGTCTCCCTCTCCCACATCCCTCCCATCCATCCCCTCCTCTCCTCCCCACCACGCCACCATCCAACTAACCCACGTAGGCTTGGTGCGTTCAGGAGCTGGAGTCGGCAGCGGGGAGAGAGGAGAGGATGAGGCGGCAGCTGATGGAGGCGCAGGAGGGCATAGTGCACCGGGACGCCTTCCTGCAGCAGCTACATGAAGAGGCTGCGCTCTCTGCCTCTGCGCTCAAACAGGCCGCCAGGATGGGCTGGGGTGGAGTGGGGTGGGGTGGGGTGGAATTGGCTATGGTGGCGTGGGTAGGGAAGTGCATAGCAGCTGTAGGAAGAGGCCGCGCTCTCCGCCTCTGCGCTCAAGCAGGCCGCCAAGGTGCGCAGTGGGGGATGGGGGTTTTGCTCGCGTGGAAAGGGTTTTGCTTCACAGCGTGGTGTCAGATGGGGTGCGCTGGGCTGGGCTGGGTTGCCGTGCTGCGGGTAGGGAAACAAGTAGAGGATAGAGTGATGGCGTTTTCCAGCAGCAATACACATTTCCTCATGCTTTATGCTTCGCCTTCCTGCCTCCCGGCATCGTTCCCTCCCCGCCCCTCTCCCTCCCACTCCCCTCCTTCCCCATGGTGCCCGTGTGTGTGTGAGAGCGGGCGAGCAGGCGATGGTGGCGGCGCGGGACCGCACGTTGAGGATAGAGGAGCAGCTGGAGTCGATGGGAGACCAGCTGGCCAAGGAGCGCGCCAAGACCCGCCGCGAGAGAGACAACACCGTGCGCGTCACTGCTGTACGTGCCCTGCCCTGCCCTGCCCTGCCCTACCCTGCCCTGCCCTGCCCTGCCCTGCCCTGCCCTGCCCTGCCCTGCCCTGCCCTGCCCTGCCCTGCCCTGCCCTGCCCTGCCCTGCCCTGCCCTGCCCTGCCCTGCCCTACCCTGCCCTGCCGCGTGTGATAAGTCGAATTGTGAGTCGGTGGGTGACCAGCGCACCAAGACCCGCCACGAGCGGGAGAACACCGCGCGTGTCACTGCTGTATGTGCACCACCGCGTGGAGGGGGGGGGGGGGGGGGGGGGGGGGGGGGGTGGGGGGGGGGGAGAGGGAATGGGAGGATGGGGGCTTTATGGGAAAACGTGCAATGTGTAGATAGGCAGGCATGGAGTGGGGTGCAAGGGCTCTTGTGCATTCTGCATCAGCAATGCTTGCCAGGCTGCCACTGCTCCTGATTGCCCCACTTGCCATTTCCCAACGCATCTTGTTCCTCCCATCGGCTTGCATCCTCATCATCCACTAGCTCCCCGTCCCTGCTCCCACCCACCGCTGCTGCTACTGCGTTGCGTTGGTGAGGAGGCGCGTGATAATAATGGAGCTCAACTGATTGATTAGGAAAGAAGGCACTAGGCCTTAAGTACAAACGAGGTTGGGATGGGCAAGGCTAGGGAAAGGATGGGATGGGAATCCTAGCAAATCTCCAATTGGTGAGTTGGCAGATTTGCAGGATTACGAGGGAATCCCAACAAGATAGGGTTGGGATCACAAACTACACCCAACCCGCAAATAACCTACGCGATATAAAATATAGTACACAAAGTGTTGACAGCCTAATTCTAACACACCCCCTAGGCTGCAACACATCAGCCGCAAGGAGGCCCAACACCCATGGCCGAGAGGAGGCAGTAATGATCCTCGCGAACAAGCGACTTGGTAAACAAGTCAGCAAGGTTGCAGTTGGAGGCAATGTGTTCAGCCTTCAGCTGCTCGCGCTGCACCAGCTCACGAAGAAAGTAGTGACGGACTTCAATGTGCTTGGTGCGGCCATGGAAAACGGGGTCTTTGGTGAGATGAATGGTGCTCTCGTTGTCACACCAAAGCGTTGGGGTTGGTTGGGGATACCCCAGTTCTGTCAGCAGGAAGGAGAGCCAACGAGCCTCCTGTGCAGCCATGGTCCCGGCATACAGCTCTGCCTCACAGGTCGACAGTGAGACGGAGGACGACCGAGTGGAGCGCCAACTTACAACCCCACTGCCAAGGGTAAAGCAATACCCTTGGGACGAGCGCCGATCACTCTGGTCATCAGCATAGGATGAGTCACTGTACCCCTCAAGGCGAACAGGGGAAGTGCCGCCAAGTGTGAGCACATAATCCTGTGTGCCTTTGAGATAGCGAAGAACCCGCTTGGCGGCAGACCAGTGGTGGTGAGTGAAGCGACCAGGTGCAACGTAGCGGGACAGTACACTGACTGGATAGGCTGAGTCTGGTCGAGTGCACATCATCGCGTACAATAGGGATCCCACGAGCTCGGGGTAAGGCTCGTCACAGGGCTCAGGTGAGGGAACGGAGGGTGCAGTGAGTTGGTGTTGCAGAGAGAGTGGGGTGGGCATTGATGCTGCCTCCTGCATCTGGAACCTCGTCAGAACGTTGTTGATGTAAAACTTCTGCGAAAGGGTGATGGTGCGGGCTGTGCGATCACGTGTGATTTCCATTCCCAAATAGTTCGTCAGCTTCCCAAGGTCCTTCATGGCCAGCTTCTCACCAAGTGCGGTTTTGACTGCTGCCAGCTCAGTCTGATCCTTGGTGACAAGGATCATGTCATCGACATAAACCAGGATGAAGAACCGGGAGGGTGTTGCTCGGATGAAGAGGCTGGGGTCAGAGGTGGATGGGTGAAAGTCGAGGGACCCTAAGGTGCTCTTTAGCTTGTTGTGCCATTCCCGGGGAGCTTGCTTGAGGCCATACACTGGCCGATTCAGCTTCCATACAGTGCCTGGTGGAAAAGGAGCTGGAAATCCTTCGGGCCGCTCCATATAGATTTCCTCTCGAAGGATCCCTTGCAGGAACGCAGAAGACACATCCATGCAGTCAACCTCCATGTCATCTCGAGCAGCGACATGGAGAAGGGTGCGCAGTGTGGGAGTTTGGCGGTGGGAGAGAATGTCTCAAAGAAGTCCAATCCACGCTTTTGGGTAAATCCCTTGGCACAGTACCGGGCTTTGAAGACAGGAAATTCGCCTGGAAGTTGTTTCACCCGAAAGACCCATTTTCCCTTCACAATGTTGACGCCGGAGGGAGGAGAGACGTCTGTGAAAGTTCCTGTGTGAATGAAGGCCTCACATTCTGCGACAATGGCCCCCAACCACTGAGCGGCGTGAGGACCAGAGACTGCTTCAGCATAGGTGAGAGGTGTGGGGATGGAGGGGTTGTCGGAGAAATTGAGGGTTGGAGAGTCTGCGATGTCTGGAAAGAGGAAGCAGAGTGCGTGGATGGCTGAGTCGATATCAATCAACTCCTCATGTCTGTCTTCAAGGAGGGATGGCATGAGAGAATAATCACCCCCGACAGGAGGAGGATTGAGAGAGACGCGAACGGAAAGGGAGAACGATTGTGGAGGTGAGCGAGAGCGGGTGCGAGAAGCGATTGGTGAGGGAGGCGGGGCCGGAGTAGGCGTAGCGGAAGGGGAGGTGGGAGTGGGAGGGAGAGTGGAGACAGGATCGGGATCAGGGGTGGGAGCAGGAGGAGGAGGGGGAGGAGGAGGAGGAGGAGGAGCTGGGTGACGGCGTTGGTAGGTTTTGAGAGGAACGGGCTCGGTAGGAGGAGATGCGAGAGGAGATGGAGGAGGGGTAGCGGAGGAGGGAGGGAGCGAGGGAGACTGTGTGGTACTGGAGGGGGAAGCGGGTGATGGGGGATCAGAAATGGTGGAGGGAGCGGGAAGAGGAGGAGATGGAGTGTCGGGAAGAGGGAGATTGTCAAAGTCAGCCAAAGTAAGAGAGGGAGGCGGAGGAGAGGGGGAAGCCTCGGAGGAGGGGTAGAATGGGTGGGACTCATCAAAGTCAACGTCCCGGCTGCGATAGAGCTTGTTGGTGGAAGGATGGAGGAAGAGATAGTCTGGCGAATCTAAGTTGTGCCCGAGGTATACGCACGTGATCGTTTTGGGAGCAAGTTTGCCGCCAGCCGCACGACGGGCTTGGGAGTTGAGGAGGACATAGGAAGTGCACCCCCATACACGAAGAGGGCGGACGGATGGCTTTTGACCCGTCCATAGCTCAGCGGGGGTGGTGTGGGTGTGATGAGGATGGGGATGGAGATTGTGGAGGGCGGCAGCATGAAGCATGGCGTACCCTCAGAGAGAGAGAGGGGCGGAGGCGTGCGTGAGGAGGCAGCGAGCAATCTGCACCAATGTACGGTTCCGGCTTTCGGCAATACCGTTCTGATGGGGACTGTCCGGGAGAGTGAAGGTCTAACGGATACCCTCAGTGGAGCAGAAAGCTTTGAGAGTGTTGTTGCGGAATTCACTGCCACCGTCAGAGTGAAGGACCTTGATGGTGGTTTTGAAGTGTTTGTGAGCCTGCTTCGCCCATTCAATGATGACGCCTGGGGCTTCGGATTTGGAGGAGAGAAGGTGGACAGACACAAAACGGGAATAGTCATCAATGATGACAAGGAAGTAAAAGTGTCCACCGCTAGAGCGAACAGGAGCTGGGCCCCAAAGGTCCATGTGCACGCGATCGAGAGGTGCAGCGGAGATGGACTCAGTGGGGGGATGGGGCTGTTCACGAAGCTTGCTCTGTGCACAGTCAAGGCAAGGTGGCCCTAGGGTGGAGGTAGGAGAGGGAAGTGAGGTTGGAAGCCCGTGGAGGAGTTGTTTTGTGGCAAGGTCTGAAAGCGCGCGAAAGTTGATGTGGCCAAGGCGGTGATGAAAGAGCATGGTTTTGTCGGAAAGGAGGCGGCAGTGACAGGTGGAGGAGTCAAGGGAAGGTAACGGGAGGTTTGTGAGGGAGCACGTTTGAATGGGAGGTACTACGAGCGTGTATAGGTTGTTGGAGTTGAGAGTGAAGCGGGCTAGATGAATGCCGGTTTTGGCGTCAAAGAGGCCACAGAAGTCGACATCATTGGGAAAGATGGTGATCACTCCTGCTTGTTGGATTTCACTTTGTGCCAGGAGGTTGTGGCGGAGGGTGGGGGCACAGATGCCAGTGACTGTGCCCGATGGAAATGCTGGACAAGGAACTGTGGAGGACCCATGGCATTGGATGGAGAAGCTAGAGTCGGCTCCGAGGAGTGGGATGGGAGCCTGGTAAGGAACGAACGCGGTTTGGTCTTTGAGCACTGTGTGGGTGGCACCATTGTCTAGTATGAACTCGATCCCTTGTGTGTTTGAAACACCGATGTACTGCCACCCCTTCTCATTAATAAGACCAGCACCAGAGAACAACAGGTTGAGGCGAACATCAGATGGGGTGCTATCAACTGAGGGACTAGGTTCCTCCACTGCCTCGACATGGTTCACGCGACGGGGTGGGGCCCAGTTGGGAGGGCGCTTGTTGGTGGAGACACCATGGACGTCGTACCACTCATCATCTCGCTTCTTGAAGCAAGTTGCCTCAAGGTGGTTGGTGCCTCCGCATTTCTGCCCCCCACGTGGGCCTTTCCTAATGATGTAGGGGCATGGGGGAAAGGAGTTGCGCCTTGGTCCCTGTTGGGAGCGGAATGGGATTCCAGGGGTGTAGCGCACAGCATTGACGGATGCTTGGGCTGCAAGGTCCTTTTCGGCGGAAAGGAGAGCCGATGCGACTTTTTCGAAGGTGAGTTCCTTGGTGGGAAGTTGCTTGAGCATGGAGCTGGTGACATTGTAGGCCGGGGTCAGTCCTACAAGTAGGCCAGCTGCAGGTGCCTGTTCGGGGAAAATGATCCCAATGTCCTTGAGTTCCTCATGGATGTTGCGGATTTCAGAGATGTAATCTGCCATGCCAGGGCATTCCTCAAGGCGGACCTGGAACATTCGAGGGATGAGGATGGCAACACCCACCGCTGTCTTGTCATGGAAACGGTCCTGGAGATACTTCCAAATCGCATGAGCGGAGCGAAAGGTGCGGTAGGATTTGACGAGCTCAGCCGGAGTGGTGGTGATGAAAACCCTAATAACTGCTACATCTGCCTGCTCCCACACACTGAAATCAGTCTCGTACTTGGTGGTCTGAGCGTCAAAAGCGGCCTTCTCTGCGGCAGCGGCGCCTTCGCCAAGGGGATCGGGAGGGAGAGGCATCTTTCCCTTGCCGCGGTTGAGGAGGATGTCCTTGAGGCAAATCCCCTTCAGTTCTGTGCTAAGGAGGTGCTTCTCCACCCCATAGCACTAGGCATGATCATTAGGCCCGACCCGACCCGACCCGACCCGACTTGGGCGGGCCAGCCAGGTTCCGGATCGGGTCGGGTCGGGTCGGAACTTCAAAAAATCCTGGCCCGACCCGGGTATCGGGTGCCAGGTCAGGCGTGACCCGCCCCCGGGTCGGGTCGGGTAGGGGCCGGGTCGGGTCGGGTCGGGCCAGGACCCCATATGCAGGGTAAGAGGTTCCTAAGTTGGAAAAAACGCTAGTTTCAAGTTGCGTATTGAGTTTATACGCATCTAGAATTCGTACGCTGCGGATTTTTCTAAAATTCGCCAAATTTGGCTCGGGCTGACCGGAAAAAAAAAATCAGATGAGTTCGCGATCTGGCGAACTCAAATTTGAGTCTCGAAATTCAGATCTGAGTTCGCGCGTTGCTAAAGCAACTTCAGATCTGAATTTCGAGATTGTTGGTGGATCATTCCCTCTTATCCACCGCTCACAACCCACCTTCACCCCATCCAATTTGTTGCCAACTTCTACCAGACTCACTCAATGTCAGGCCGCTTTTCCCTTCAATAATCTTTGCGTTCGATTTCTTCCTCTTCACTTTGACGATGACCTACTACAGCAGCAGTTAGGTAATGGATTACTACAGCAGCTCCGGTCTAGGGTTTAGACCTTGACTTCGCGGTCTGCTTTAGTGCAACTTGTCGAGGGAGTGTCAATGTCGAGGGAACAAACAAACCCTAGACATTGACTTCGCGATCTGCTTTAGTGCAACTTGTCGAGGGAGGAAAAGTCGGGTTGGGCCAAATACTCGACCCGACTTAGGGCGCGGTACCCGAAACCGGGTCGGGTACGACTTCGGGTCTAAATCTGACCCGACCCGACCCGACCGGGTAAACCCGACCCGACCCGGCCGGGTCAGCGCTTCAAAATGCCTGAGCCGACCCGCCGGGGCAGGATGATCATGCCTGCATAGCACCATTCCCCAAAGTTGGTGCTCGTGCCGTTGGGAGCGAGGTTGAGAACGATGAGGTTTCCGACTAGGGTAGAAGTTGAAGTCGCCATTCGCGCAGAGCGCAGCGCTAAAGTCAACGATACAAAGCGGCGATTTTGAAAATTGATGAAGTCCGAAACGCGGAAATGTGCGATTTCGGCAATAAGATTGCGATTCCTGTTTTGCTTCTCTGCTTCGCCGATGACCCCTTTTCTGCTGCGCCGATGACCTGTTCCGCTGCGCCGCTGACCTGTGCTCCGCTGCGCCGCTGACCTGCTCTCCTGCGCCGCTGAACCTGCTCTGCTGCGCCGCTGAACCTGCTCTGCTGCGCCGCTGAACCTGCTCTGCTGCGCCGCTGAACCTGCTCTGCTGCGCCGCTGACCTGCTCTGCTGCGCCGCTGAACCTGCTCTGCTGCGCCGCTGAACCTGCTCTGATGCGCCGCTGAACCTGCTCTGCTGCGCCGCTGAACCTGCTCTGCTGCACCGATGAAAACCTGCTGGAAGTTTCGAATGTGAGAAAATTGCCACGGAAATTTGAAATTTCAGAGCTTACGATGAAGGAAATTGACGGAGAAATGTGCCGCCGTTGAAATCGGAAATGCATGTAGACGGAGCGGGAAAGCGCCTATGACCAGTGCGACGATGTGAAGACGAAAAACGCTAAGCGAAGAAGGCGTGAACCGAGAACGCCATAGCCGAGAGGAAGAGAATGATCGCGACGCCAAGGATCGAATTCCGCGTGAGCGGAATTTGCTAGCTCGATACCATGATAATAATGGAGCTCAACTGATTGATTAGGAAAGAAGGCACTAGGCCTTAAGTACAAACGAGGTTGGGATGGGCAAGGCTAGGGAAAGGATGGGATGGGAATCCTAGCAAATCTCCAATTGGTGAGTTGGCAGATTTGCAGGATTACGAGGGAATCCCAACCAGATAGGGTTGGGATCACAAACTACACCCAACCCGCAAATAACCTACGCGATATAGAATATAGTACACAAAGTGTTGACAGCCTAATTCTAACAGCGCGAGCAGGAGCTGGCAGAGGACATGGCGTTTGAGCCCACTCATAACTCCCCCCCCCCCCCCCCCCCCCTCTCTCTCTCCCCCCGCCCCTTCGTCTCCCCGTTGATGTGACGTGATGGGGTGGTGGTGTGGGTGCTCATAGGAGCTGGTGGAGGCGCGCATGGCCGGCAGTGGAGGAGATGGCGGGGCGGTTTGAGATGTCTTCTGATTCTCATCAATATTTTTCCTCTGATTCTCATCAATAATTTTCCTCTGATTCTCATCAATAATTTTCCTCTGATTCTCATCAATAGTTTTCCTCTGATTCTCTTATCATGGCGCGTGCAGGAGCTGGCAGAGGCGCGCATGGCAGCGGAGGAGATGGCAGGGCGGGTGGGGCGGCTGGAGAGCGAGGTGCAGCGCAAGGAGCGCGAGATGCTTCACAGCCGCGAGGAGGCGGACGCTGTCAGGGCGCAGCTGCAAGCCACCCAGCAGGTAGGCACGGCACAGCTGCAAGCCACCCAGCAGGTAGGCACGGCGCAGCTGCAAGCCACCCAACAGGTAGGCACGGCGCAGCTGCAAGCCACCCAGCAGGTAGGCACGGCGCAGCTGCAAGCCACCCAGCAGGTAGGCACGGCGCAGCTGCAAGCCACCCAGCAGGTAGGCACGGCGCAGCTGCAAGCCACCCAGCAGGTAGGCACGGCGCAGCTGCAAGCCACCCAGCAGGTAGGCACGGCGCAGCTGCAAGCCACCCAGCAGGTAGGCACGGCGAGCGGCTGTGGAGGGGCGAATGAGGGGCTCAATTGCTGTGTGAGTGGGGAGGGGTTGAGTGAGGGAGTCAAGCTGCTCATCTCTGGTACGAGCTCTGCCCTGCCCCAGTCTCTCGCTGCCCGTGAAATCACCGCCACCTCCCCTCCCCCCTTGTTCCTCCTTTCCCCTGCCCCCAGGCGCTGGAGGAGGCAGCGCGGCAGGCGAGGGAGGAGCAGGCGGGCAGGCAGCAGGCGGAGGCGGCGGTGGAGGAGGAGAGAGCGGCGGCGGCAGCGGCGGTGGCGGGGCAGATGAGCGCGGAGCAGCGGCTGATGGAGGCACAGGCGCGCGTGCAGCTGCTGGAAGGCGAGGTGGACTCACTCAAGGTGGGGTGGGCAAGGGAGGGGAGGGGAGGGGAGGGGAGGGGAGGGGAGGGGAGGGGAGGGAAGGGGAGGGGAGGGGTGGTGGGATGGGATTCATGAGGTGGCATGTGCGTGCCTCGTGGTCTGACCTGATGCAGAGGATGATGCTGTGGTGGTAACTGATGGAAAGCGAGCGAATCTGGAGAGCGTACAAGAGATTAAGTCCGCCGACTTCGACGGAACATTGCGTGCAGCTCACATGACCTTAAACTATGAGCAGGTACGCGTTAGAAAGGTCTTAATCTCTACTTTCCAGAATGGTAACGCACGCTTTCAACAAAGATCTAGGCCGATCGCTATCACGATCTAAGTGCGACGGTGTATCCTGGCGGAATTACTAGGCAGCCATGGATTAGTTCAAGAAAGTAGCTTTAGCAAGAGTTCCGATCTGAAAAGTGACGAGTTGTTCAAACCCTACCAACCCAACCCTCGCCCTACAACAATCCCCAACAACCCAAAGTGCTAAACTAGCAACACCAAAGGTGTTGTAGTGAATAGCAAAGGTTTGTTGGTGCTTGTTGGGTGCGAGATCAATACCAGCCCGCAACAAGTCTAACCACCACATTTTGCCCAAACCCTTAGCCCACAACCAGCTAGAGCAAAATACCACAACCACCTACACAATCAACAATAACCCCTGGTCCGTGTAACCCCTGGTCCGTGTAGCTCTCTCACCAACCCTCTCTCTTCCACCCGCCTCCCCACCCCATCTCGCGCCCTTGTGCTCCCGTGCGGTGTGTGGGCGTGGGAGCAGGAGGTGGCAGCGAGCAAGGACTCGCTGCTGGCGGCGGTGAAGGAGGAGACCATGCGCAATGCTGACATGCTGCTTGCTGCTGCCAACACTCGCAAGGTCAGACCCGCTGGAGCCCCATACCTTGTGCGAGCCTTCTTCAGACCAACGCTGACATGCTGCTCGCTGCTGCCAACACTCGCAAGGTCAGACCCGCTGGAGCCCCATACCTTGTGCGAGCCTTCTTCAGACCAACGCTGACATGCTGCTCGCTGCTGCCAACACTCGCAAGGTCAGACCCGCTGGAGCCCCATACCTTGTGCGAGCCTTCTTCAGACCAACGCTGACATGCTGCGCCGCGACACCACCCAGAACATCCGTGCCCAGCGCGTCGAGCTGGTGAGTCATTGGCGGGTGGTGAGCTCGTGAGTCATTGGAGGGGTGGTGGGTGCGAGGGCAACGCTCATGCTTGTGCCGGGCCTCGCATCATCTCATTGCTGCTTCACCCTCCTTCCCTTGCTTCCTGTATGCCCTTCTTCCCCACACAAAACCACCCCTATTCTCTATTTGTGTGTGGTGCGCCTGGCGGGGGGTAGGCGCTGCGGGAGGCTGAGAGGAGGGCGCGGGAACTGGAGATGGAGTCGCTGCTTCACCCCCACTCTCCCCACCCCCACAAAACCACCTCCCCACCCCCACAAAACCACCTCCCCACCCCACAAAACCACCACTCCCCCCTCTTTCCTGCAGGCGCTGAGGGGTAGGCGGAGAGGAGGGCGCGCGAGCTGACGATGGAGAGGGAGTCGCTGCGGCGGGGCGTGGCAAAGCGCGACCAGGCGCTGGGGCTCATGAAGAGAGAGCTCGAACGCACCGCTCACATGCTCTCCGCCGCTGCTGACACCCGCCAGGTGAGTTCTGCTGCTGACACCCGCCAGGTGAGCCCTGCTGCTGACACCCGCCAGGTGAGCCCTGCTGCTCACACCCGCCAGGGTGAGCCGTGCTGCTGACATGTCAGTTGCTCTTATCAGGTGGATGAGTTTGTGTGGTGCAGTACCGATGCTGCGACTGAGGGGCTGTTTCCTGTGCTTCATGCCCCCTCTGCCCTCCCTTGCCATGGGATACGACCCTCATCACATCAACTCCCGTTGTGTGGGGACTGGGAGTGACAGGCATTACGGAGCATGAAGGAGCAGATGGAGTGGATGCAGGAGGAGGCGCGCGTCAAGGAGGAGCGCCTGGCAGCGCTGCAGGAGAAGTTTGTCTCTGCTCTCAAGGGCACCACCTTCCCATCGCATGCGTGCATGAATGCACCACTGTTTTTCTTAGGTGTTTCTCTTCCGTGGATGTGGTGCACTTATATAGTTTTCGCAAATCCTCACTTTGCCAGTGCTCTTTTCCTTGTACCGTATGTTGGCGTCGGAACTGGCATGTTTGCCGCAGGACAAGAGCATTCTAAAGCGAAGAAAGGTGCCGCCACAAGGGAAGTCCTCTGGCGATTCGCAACCCCAATGACCTTTTTGAGAGCAACTCTCGCCTCTATGGAAATGGAGCGCCTGTAGCAGCAATTGTATAAAGCATGGAGTGTGCTTGGTTCCTGAGTGTGTATGCAAGCTTCTGATTGTGATCATAATTATCGGCTCTTGATAAAGCTAGGGCAAATAGCATGTACGGTATGTTAGTCGAGGGTTGGAATTGTAGAACCACACTGTAGGGAGTTGCGAGCCTTGGCGAGGATGCAGCATCTGGTGGGCGGCAGCAGTGTTCGATGGCTGTCAGCCACCTGATCCATCTCTAATCCTTGACCCCTGAATTCGGCCTACACCGCACAGCATTGGCTGTGGGTTTGTGCCCACGCGAAGCGGTTCGACGCTGGGGGCCAATGACACTCCCCTTGTGCTGGGGAGCCCCACGATTGGGCGAGGGCTGTAGAGATCGACGGCAGATGTGGCAAGTTCCTGAACCCACCTCTTTGGGGGACTTGAAACAGCTAGTCCGCCAACGTGGCGGAAGATTTTGACGTCAATATCTGCCCGTTCGGCCTGTTGTTGCGAGGGAGACCGATATCCGCGACTGGTGTTCCAACGAAGTTTTGAGGGCGCGAATCGTTTCGTTGGTGACCGTCGTTCGCCCCCCCCTTTCCTTCAAATCCGTCCAAACCCATTCTTGCCACCACTTACGCACCCCGCTCCCGCACGCCACATTCACTCACTGCAATCCCCCCCTCCTCACCACCAATTCGCGCTCTCATGTCGACTCGACGTCTCTCGCACCATCACCGGAAATGGTAGTTTTCTTGGAAATGCCAAGTGCGTTTCAACCGAGTTAGTGATATACAGCCTTACGCTGTTTTGTGTGCTGCTTCCAGTCCAGCCCTCCAGCCACGCTGCAGCCCCGAAAAAAATAGCATCCTTGCATCTTCAGGTGAATCCTTCGAGCCACAGTACATAGGCTCGCCGCTCACAGCCTTCCAGCGCCACCATGCTTTCCGCGCTCGGCGCAAGCTCCAAGGCCGTGCTGCGCGCGGACCTGCAGCCATGTGCGTCATGCCACGCTCACCGTCTCGACTCCGCTCACCACCTCCCGGCAACCGCGCTGCTCTTGCATTCCGCTGCCCCGCAAGCGCACCAGCTGCGCGCGCTCCGGTCCTCTTCAGCCGCTGCGCTCTTCCCTTCAGCCGGGGGCCGCGCGGACAGTGGGCGCAGGTCCGCGGTTGTTCGCGTGAGCGCCGAAGCGGAGACTCCGCAGAGCGAGCGGCTCCAATTGAACGGCTCGGGTAGGTGAATGGGGATGGGCGCGCGCCTGCACTGTCTTCGGGGCAGAATTGCTGCACTTCGGCAGAATTGCTGCACTTCCAGGACCGTCGTCCCTCCTCTGCTTCAGTCCTGCTCCCGTGCCGCGCAAATGTCTTGACCCCGCCAGTACTAGTCATCCCCATTTCCTTACGACCTCCTCTGCCCTCTGCCTCCCCTCCCCCCTATCCTCGTGCCATCCGCCGGGGTGGTGTCCCCCCGTGCGCGTGGGGTGCGCAGTGCTTCGCGCGGACCCGCTGTGGTCGGCGGTGACGGAGCAGGTGGCCATCGGCGGGAGCGTCACGACGGCGGGTGCGGAGGACGTGCGCGCGCTGCAGACGCAGTTCGGCATGACGGCCGTCGTTAACGTCGAGGTACGTTAACGTCGAGATACGCACTCAACCCCGTCGCGCACACCAACGCCCGTGCCGTTTCACACTTGCTCACATCTCGTGCCAATTTCTACGCGTGCTGACATGACATGGCGTGCGTGTGTCTTTGGTGGCGGCGTGCAGGAGGAGAGCGCGATGAAGGCGCGCGGCAGCAGCTGGGACGAGGAGCGGCGGCGGCTGGAGGAGCAAGGCGTGGTGGCCGTGTGGGTACCCGTCAAGGAGCACGACGCCACGGAGCAGGTGAGGCGCACGCCGCCACGCAGCAGGTGAGGCGCACGCCGCCACGCAGCAGGTGAGGCGCACGCCGCCACGCAGCAGGTGAGGCGCACGCCGCCACGCAGCAGGTGAGGCGCACGCCGCCACGCAGCAGGTGAGGCGCACGCCGCCACGCAGCAGGTGAGGCGCACGCCGCCACGCAGCAGGTGAGGCGCACGCCGCCACGCAGCAGGTGAGGCGCACTCCGCCACGGAGCAGGTGAGGCGCACTCCGCCACGGAGCAGGTGAGACGCACGCCGCCACGGAGCAGGTGAGACGCACGCCGCCACGCAGCAGGTGAGGCGCACTCCGCCACGGAGCAGGTGAGGCGCACGCCGCCACGGAGCAGGTGAGGCGCACGCCGCCACGGAGCAGGTGAGGCGCTTAAAGTGCTTCGACTCCTCCTTGTCCTCCGTCTCTTGTCTCCGCTTGCTCCTCCCCACCTAAACGCTCTTCCCCTCGGTCGCTTCTCCCCTCCACTCTGGTCTCCCCCCCACCCCTTTCCCCCATGGGCGGCAGGCGCTGATGCTGCCGCAGGTGGTGCGGGTGGTGTCGGCGCTGGTGGCGGCGGGGCACACGGTGGTGCTGCAGTGCTCGTCGGGCGACCGCATCTCGCCGCTCATCGCCATCGGGTGAGTCGCCGCTCATCGCCATTGGGTGAGTCGCCGCTCATCGCCATCGGGTTAGTTTTGAGTCGACTCAAAAGGCCGGGGGGGCCAAAGGCCAGGTGCGCGTGAGATAGGGAGGGGGGGTACACGTGTAAAGCCAAGGAACGGTGAAATGGGTAAAGCCAAGGAACGGTGACATGGGTAAAGCCAAGGAACGGTGACATGGGTAAAGCCAAGGAACGGTGACATGGGTAAAGCCAAGGAACGGTGACATGGGTAAAGCCAAGGAACGGTGACATGGGTAAAGCCAAGGAACGGTGACATGGGTAAAGCCAAGAAACGGTGACATGGGTAAAGCCAAGGAACGGTGACATGGGTAAAGCCAAGGAACGGTGACATGGGTAAAGCCAAGGAACGGTGAAATGGGTAAAGCCAAGGAACGGTGACATGGGTAAAGCCAAGGAACGGTGACATGGGTAAAGCCAAGGAACGGTGACATGGGTAAAGCCAAGGAACGGTGACATGGGTAAAGCTAAGGAATGGTGACACGTGTAAAGCCAAGGAACGGTGACATGGGTAAAGCCAAGGAACGGTGACATGGGTAAAGCCAAGGAACGGTGACATGGGTAAAGCCAAGGAACGGTGACATGGGTAAAGCCAAGGAACGGTGACACGTGTAAAGCCAAGGAACGGTGACATGGGTAAAGCCAAGGAACGGTGACATGGGTAAAGCCAAGGAACGGTGACATGGGTAAAGCCAAGGAACGGTGACATGGGTAAAGCCAAGGAACGGTGACATGGGTAAAGCCAAGGAACGGTGACATGGGTAAAGCCAAGGAACGGTGACATTGGGTAAAGCCAAGGAACGGTGACATGGGTAAAGCCAAGGAACGGTGACATGGGTAAAGCCAAGGAACGGTGACATGGGTAAAGCCAAGGAACGGTGACATGGGTAAAGCCAAGGAACGGTGACATGGGTAAAGCCAAGGAACGGTGACATGGGTAAAGCCAAGGAACGGTGACATGGGTAAAGCCAAGGAACGGTGACATGGGTAAAGCCAAGGAACGGTGACATGGGTAAAGCCAAGGAACGGTGACATGGGTAAAGCCAAGGAACGGTGACATGGGTAAAGCCAAGGAACGGTGACATGGGTAAAGCCAAGGAACGGTGAAATGGGTAAAGCGAAAGAAATGTGACATGGGATATAAACATGTGAGCGGTAACATGGTAACAAGCGTTTGGCAATGCACGGGCATTGTGGCCGACTGTTTGAGCATCCCCCTCGTCCCCTGTATGTGTGCATCGGCCGTGCTGCGCGCGCAGGTACCTCATGTTCGTGCGCGGCATGCCCGCGGACGCCGCCTCCGCGCTGGTGGCGGAGAGACGCGCCGGCATCAGCCCGCCCATGGGCGTGCTCACGGAGGTGCGCGGGGGAGAGGGCGAGGAGGAATGATGTATGGGGGGAGAGGGCGAGGAGGAATGATGTATGGGGGGAGAGGGCGAGAAGGAATGATGTATGGGGGGAGAGGGCCAGGAGGAATGATGTATGGGGGGAGAGGGCGAGGAGGAATGATATATGGGGGGAGAGGGCGAGGAGGAATGATGTATGGGGGGAGAGGGCGAGGAGGAATGATGTATGGGGGGAGAGGGCGAGGAGGAATGATGTATGGGGGGAGAGGGCGAGGAGGAATGATGTATGGGGGTAGAGGGCGAGGAGCAATGATGTATGGGGGGAGAGGGCGAGGAGGAATGATGTATGGGGGGAGAGGGCGAGGAGGAATGATGTATGGGGATGGGGGAGCCCCCTGAGAGGCATGCGGGGTAGCTGTTAGCGCGAGAGCTGACGGGTGGGTAGTGGTGTCAAGGGTGCAGGCGGGCACTTGCATATCATGCATCACCATGGGCATTCGCATCAACGCCTGCATGCCATCATGCCATCCCTCCCCCTGCTTGCCGTGCCTCCCCGTCCCCATTCCGCGTGCGCCCGTGCGGCGGGCAGGCGATGGAGAAGGTGTTGGCGGGGGCGACGGCGCGCGTGATCGAGATCGCGGAGAGCATCTATCGCAAGCGCGAGCGCACGGGGCAGCCAGGCGACTCCAACTCCGACTGGGTGGTGCGCTCCCCTGCCCTGCCTTCCCCCCTGCCTTCCCCCCTGCCTTCCCCCCTGCCTTTCCCCCTGCCTTTCCCCCTGCCCTCCCCCGTCCCTCCCCTGCTTTCCCCCCTCCCTCCCCTCGCCGCTATTCTCGCGTGCTGCTCACTTCCCAGTCTGCGAATCTTCTCATCTCGCATTCGCCAGCTTGCCCCCTTCACCCCCCATTCTCCTTCTCCCCACTCTCTGCCCCGCTACCCCCCTTCCTCACCTCCCCTTCCCCCACTTCCTGCCCCGCTACCCCCCCTTTCTCAACTCCCCCCTGTCGCTGTGCGCCCAGCAAGCCCAGCGCGCGTACATCAACGAAGCCTTTGCGAAATGGCTCGCTGCTGACGTCAGCTTCGCAGAGTCTATCGCCCAGGTGAGTGCATCCACCCCTCCACCCGTCCACCCGTCCACCCCTCCACCCCTCCACCCCTTCACCCCTCCACCCCTTCACCCCTTCACCCCTCCACTCCTCTTCCCTGTTCACCCCTCCACCCCTCCATTTTTCCATCCTCAAGCGCTCTCCGTGGTCTCGCCGCTCCCCTCGCCTCTGCCTCACGCCATCTTCTCACCCGCGCCTGCTTGCCCTTTTTCTACCCGCTGGTCTTTCTTCTCGCCCTCCACTGCCACGTTTCACCGCACTGCATCTCATTGCGCCGCCCTGCACCCCTGGTTGCCCCCACTGCAGGCGGCGGAGCGCAAGGCGAGGGAGCAGCAGGCAGCAGAGGAGGCGGAGCGGAGGGCTGCTGGGCCCGCCAAGGTAAGGCGCCTCTTCCCTCTCGCCCCTTCACATGCACTCTCGCCCCTTCACATGCACTCTCGCCCCTTCACATGCACTCTCGCCCCTTCACATGCACTCTCGCCCCTTCACATGCACTCTCGCCCCTTCGCATGCACTCTCGCCCCTTCGCATGCACTCTCGCCCCTTCACATGCACTCTCGCCCCTTCGCATGCACTCTCGCCCCTTCGCATGCACTCTCGCCCCTTCACATGCACTCTCGCCCCTTCACATGCACTCTCGCCCCTTCGCATGCACTCTCGCCCCTTCACATGCACTCTCGCCCCTTCGCATGCACTCTCGCCCCTTCGCATGCACTCTCGCCCCTTCGCATGCACTCTCGCCCCTTCGCATGCACTCTCGCCCCTTCGCATGCACTCTCGCCCCTTCGCATGCACTCTCGCCCCTTCACATGCACTCTCGCCCCTTCGCATGCACTCTCGCCCCTTCGCATGCACTCTCGCCCCTTCGCATGCACTCTCGCCCCTTCGCATGCACTCTCGCCCCTTCGCATGCACTATCGCCCCTCCACTCGCTTTACTCCACCCCCACTGCCTGCACCCACCCGTTGCTTGCCCGCCCTGTTGCCACGCCTTGCCCTGCGCCCCTCGCAGCGCCTGCTCACGCCCATCCGCTGGAGCGATTCCGCCAAGGCCCCCGCGCCACCGCAGTCCGCCCCGCCCGCGGCGGGCGCGGGAAGCAGCAGCGAGGCACTGGCGGCGGCGAACCGGCGCGTGGCGGCGCTGAGCAAGGAGCTGGAGGGGGTGACGCGCGTGGCGGACGAGCAGGCGGCGACGCTGCAGCGCGCGGGGCAGCAGGTGGCGGAGCTGACGGGGCAGGTGGAGGCGCTTCAGCGCAAGGAGCGGCTGTACACGGAGGCGCTGGCGCAGGCCAACGAGCGCATGGAGCTGCTGGGGGAGCGCATGCGCGCGGTGGAGCAGCAGGGGCGCGAGGAGAAGGAGCGCCTGGAGGGGGAGGTGCGCTCGCTGCGCGCGCGCGTGGAGGCGGACGAGCAGCGCGGCGGGCGCGCGGCGACGGTGATCCAGGGGCTGCGCATGGAGCTGCAGGCCGCAAAGGATGAGGTTAAGGAGCAGTGGGCAGCCGTCGCGCGCGCGGAGAAGAGCATCGGCGCGCTCAGCGCGCGCGTGAAGGAGGAGGAGCAGCGCGCGCAGCGCGCGGAGGCGGCGGCGCTGGCCGCGGAGGAGGACAAGCGGCGAGCGCTGCGGGAGCTGGAGGGGGCCAAGGGCGAGAGCGTGAGCGAGTCGCAAGACGCGCGCGAGCGCATGTCGGCGCTTGGCGCGCAGGTGCAGCAGCTGAGCGAGCGGCTCAAGGCGGCGACGAGCGTGGCGGAGAAGGCAACGGGGCGCGCGGACGTGCTGGAGAAGCAGGTGGCGCAGCTGGAGGCGCGCGCGCGCAAGGCGGAGGAGCAGGAGGCGGTATCCGCGCGCGCAGCGGGGCTGCTGACGGAGCAGGTGAAGGCGCTGGAGGGCAGCGCGGCGGAGGCGGGCGCGCGCGTGGGGCAGCTGAGCGGGGAGCTGGAGCGGCTGCGCATGCGCGAGGCGGAGCGCGCGGCGGAGGGCGTGGCGAGCGGGGAGCGCGCGAAGCAGCTGATGGCGCTGGTGAAGGAGCTGTCGGAGAAGGAGGCGCGGCAGCGCGCACGCACGGAGCAGGTGGAGGCGCAGCTGACGGCGCTGCGCAACCAGGACTCGGAGCTGGCCTCACGCGCTGCTGTGTTCTCCGCCCAAATGGAGGAGATGGCCCGCCAGGTATGGGGAGACCAGGAGGGGTGGGGGGCGGGCAGGAGGGACGGGGGGGGGGAGCACGAGGGATGGGGGTGCCCGGGGGGAAGTTGGGGGAAGGATAGCCATGGCGCATAGGGGAAGTGGTTGCATGGCGCATAGGGGAAGTGGTTGCATGGCGCATAGGACGTGGTTGCATGGCGCATAGGACGTGGTTGCATGGCGCATAGGACATGGTTGCATGGCGCATAGGACGTGGTTGCATGGCGCATAGGACGTGGTTGCATGGCGCATAGGACGTGGTTGCATGGCGCATAGGACGTGGTTGCATGGCGCATAGGACGTGGTTGCATGGCGCATAGGACGTGGTTGCATGGCGCATAGGACGTGGTTGCATGGCGCATAGGACGTGGTTGCATGGCGGTATGACAGAGGAGGCAAGGGTTCTCTGGGACTTGACATTTCCCCCCTGCCTCCCCCTCCCTCTGGTCCTGTTCCCCTCCTCGCTCCATGCGACGTGTGGTGCGTGTGGTGGTGGCAGCTGGCGCGGCTGAATGCGGAGCTGGCGTTTGCGGAGGGGCGCGAGGGCGAGGTGCAGGAGGCGTGGCGCGCACAGCTGGGGGCAGCGAGCGACGTGATGGGCGCCATGGGACCCGAGGCGGCAGCACTGGCGGCAGAGAGGGGCGTGGAGATGGAGATGGAGCAGGCTGAGGGGCAGCCGGGCGAGCTGCTCAGGCAAGTGCCTGCCCTGCCACGCCCCTGCTAGGGGGTGCTGCCCGGTGTGCTGTGCTGCCCTCACCTCTCATCCCTCACATTTCATCCCTCACCTCTCATCCCTCACATTTCATCCCTCACCTCTCATCCCTCTCATTTCATCCCTCACCTCTCATCCCTCACCTCTCATATCTCGTCCTATCATGAAGCACTTGCCCTTGGCTCGTGCCATGTGCTGCTGCTCATCTCACGTGCCTCACTGTCTCTGCCCCACCCCCTTGCTGCTTCATGCCGTGTGCCCTCCCTGCTGCATGTGCGCACTACAGGGTGTTGATGCAGCGGGTGAGCTGTGAGGCGGCGGTGGTGAGGGAGCGCAGTGCACGGCTGATAGAGGAGACGCACCACATGCGCCAGCAGCTTGACGAAGCGCGCAACCAGGTGCCGCCCTGCTGCTCACCCTGCTGCTCACCCTGCCCACTCCGCCCTGCTGCTCACCCTGCCCACTCCGCCCTGCTGCTCACACCATGTGCTGCTCACACCACGTGCTACTCACACCATGTGCTGCTCACACCACGTGCTACTCACACCATGTGCTGCTCACACCACGTGCTGCTCACACCACGTGCTGCTCACACCATGTGCTGCTCACACCATGTGCTGCTCACACCATGTGCTGCTCACTCCGCTTCTTTCCCGGATCCACTTGTCCACGCGCACCTCTGCATGTCCACACGCACCTCTGCATGTCCACGCGCACCTCTGCATGTCCACGCGCACCTCTGCATGTCCACGCGCACCTCTGCATGTCCACGCGCACCTCTGCATGGCCACATGCACCTCTGCATGGCCACATGCACCTCTGCATGGCCACACCCTGACCGTACTATGCTCCTCATGCTCATGTGTGTGTTCCTGTGCGTGTGTGTGTGTGTGTGTGTGTGTGTGTGTGTGTGTGTGTGTGTGTGCGCGCGTGTGTGTGTGTGTGTTCCTGTGCGTGTGTGCGTGGGCATGACACGGGGGAGAGCAGGTGCAGGAGAGGCCGGCAGAGGGGTCGGAGGGAGCAGCAGCGCGGCTGAGGGAGTACGTGGAGGCAGCGGAGGCGATGGCGGTGGAGCAGAAGCAGAAGCTGGTGGACCGCGTGCACTCGCTGCAGTGGCTGCTGGGCGCCACCATTGCCCTGGCCGTCATCATCCCCGCCACCGCCTTCTATTCCTTCTTCACCGATGACTCACACGCCACCCAGGTATTGCCTCCCTTGCATCAGAACTCGGTGTGCCTCCCATCCCATGTGACAAATGTAGTGATTTGAGACGTCGCAAAACGCTGCAGCACCTGCGGAATGCGGCATGTGATGCATGGCAGTACTGGTGACGTGGGTGCATGTGTAGAGACTCAAATGTGCCCCGTGTGCCTGTGCCCCCGGTGCTGCTCCATGGCAGGTGGAGATGCTACGGTCGCGCCTGGCAGCAGCAACGAGCGGGCGGCAGGAGCTGGAGAGTGCAGCAGTGAAGGCGGAGGCGAGCAAGCGGGCAGCAATGAGTGCAGTGCAGACGCTGGAGGAGGTGGTGGAGGCGCAGCGCGGGTCAGTGGAGCGCCTGCAGGCACTCATTCCGCTCGTGGCACCCTCCATCCAGTCAGAGCAGGCGGCTCGCTTCTGTGCCAACGTGCCGGTGGAGTACCAGTCTCCCGTCACCCAGCGCTTCTGCTCCGATATCGTGCCCCCTTCTGATGCTGCACCGCCCACTACCGCACAGGACACCTCCTGACCCACCACATCAGCTGATGTTGATAATTAAAATGTCTCCCATGGATGTGCTTTGTACTGTATGTTGTGTAGATTTTACCAGCACCGTATGTGTGCAGCTTTTATTGCAGAATTTTGCATGAAATGCTGCATCCTCTGACGTGGAGGAATGAAGCAGCAATGGTACGTCAACAAGTTGTGCAATACTCGCATAATTAAGAGAATTGCGAGCATGCCGGGTGTGCCAGCAGCATGCGGTCACATGCTGGGACATACTGTATACAAACTGATCCAGTGTTGCGATTATCTCGACTTGTCGCCGCTTTCTGCTCGCTTCATTGCATCCATCAACACAACACTTGCCCAGCTGTATGCTTCGCCCTGTCAATGCACACAGTAACATGCAACACATAAACAAGCACGAGCATGCATTTGGAGTCGAAATTGCAAAACCACTCATCTATCCCACAACACCCATCAAAGCCTAACTTCCATTCCCGCATACGGTACATGCGCACACGGTACATGCGCATACGGTACATGCGCACACGGTACATGCGCACACGGTACATGCGCACACGGTACATGCGCACACGGTACATGCGCACACGGTTCATGCGCACACAGTACATGCGCACATCCAAACCCGACCCGTTGTCAACGGAACGGATACAACCGGGCCTAAACCGCACATCTGTGGTGCTCATGTCCGCACGTCCGTGGTGCTCATGTCCGCACGTCCGTGGTGCTCATGTCCGCACGTCCGTGGTGCTCATGTCCGCACGTCCGTGGTGATCATGTCCGCACGTCCGTGGTGCTCATGTCCGCACGTCCGTGGTGATCATGTCCGCACGTCCGTGGTGATCATGTCCGCACGTCCGTGGTGATCATGTCCGCACGTCCGTGGTGATCATGTCCGCACGTCCGTGGTGCTCACGTCCGCACGTCCGTGGTGCTCATGTCCGCACGTCCGTGGTGCTCATGTCCGCACGTCCGTGGTGCTCATGTCCGCACGTCCGTGGTGCTCATGTCCGCACGTCCGTGGTGCTCATGTCCGCACGTCCGTGGTGCTCATGTCCGCACGTCCGTGGTGCTCATGTCCGCACGTCCGTGGTGCTCATGTCCGCACGTCCGTGGTGCTCATGTCCGCACGTCCGTGGTGCTCATGTCCGCACGTCCGTGGTGCTCATGTCCGCACCTCCTGTCAGATCTCACATACCATGGACGGCTGCTGTGATCAAACCTACACTTCATGGATGGCCATGATCAAACCCCACCTACCACAGACGGCCATGATCAAACCCCACCTACCACAGACGGCCATGATCAAACCCCACCTACCACAGACGGCCATGATCAAACCCCACCTACCACAGACGGTCATGATCAAACCCCACATACCATGGACGACCATAATCAAACCCCACACACCATGGACGGCCATGATCAAACCCCACCCACCATGGACGGCCATGATCCCGTGCGGATGCGTGCCCCTGAGCGAGTCAATGCGCTCTCATAGGGCGTCTGAGGCCGCGCCGCTTTCACCGCATCCCACTCCTCCCGACTCAGCGCCTCCAGTTCCTCCTGCTCCTCTGCAAATCGCCTCGCCCGCCGCGCGACTCTCTCTGTCTCCTTTGACTCGTCATACTGACGCCCACGAGGGTCAGGGGAGGGGAGAGGAGGGGAAGAGAGGGGAGGGGAGGGGAGGGGAGGGAAAATGCAAAGTTGTAGGTGAAATGGCTTGCCTCGACACTCTCTCCGCCTCCTTGGATTCGTCGTACTGATGGCCTCACAGGGTCAGGGGGAGGGGAGAGGAGGGGAGGGGAAGACGCAAAGTGGTAAGTGCAATGGCTTGCCATGCCACTCTCTCCATCTCCTTGGACTCATCATACGATAAGGGGCAGAGGGGAGCCGTTATGGCACAGGGTCAGACGTTAAGGCGCAGAGGGGAGGGGAGGAATAGGGGGTGAGGGATGGGAGAGGAGAAGATGCGCAGTGGCAGGTGGAAGGTCTCGCTGTACCATTCGATTTGTGGGTTGAGACATGGGACGAGGTGGGGAGAGAGATGAGTGGTAAAGGTGAGGGAGAAGAGAGGTGCCTCACGGTGGAGCAGCAGAGAGGTGCCTGTGTGTGTTGTGACTGTGTGCGGACTGCCTCTGTGTGGTGTGACTGCATTGTGTGAACATCCGGGCACATTCCTTAACAGCATTTCCCAGTCTATGATCCAAATCCCTTCAGCAATATCACTCGCCACCACCCCACCTTAACCCACTCCCCATAACACTCCCCATACCACTCCCCATACCACTCCCCATACCACTCCCCATACCACTCCCCATACCACTCCCCATACCACTCCCCATACCACTCCCCATACCACTCCCCGTACCACTTCCCATACCACTTCCCCTACCACTCCCCATACCACTCCCCATACCACTCTCCATCGCATCCCACTCCGCACCGTGGCAACTTCACTCTCCACCACCACGGCCCATACCACTCCCCATCGCACCACGCACGAGCATGGCAGCACAGCCACCATCACCCACCATGCCTATGCCACTCATTCCCCATCCAACCCCTCATGCCCCTCCCCGTAGCACCCCTGCTTCACCATCCCCACGCACTCACGAGCATGGCCTGCACGGCCACCACCACCATGCACGCGCCCACTCACGCCCCATGCAGCGCCCATGCCCCTCCCCATGGCACCCCACGGCACTCACAAGCATGGCGAGCTTGGCGAGCACGGCCACCACCACCATGCCCACGCCCAGCTGCAGCGTCGTCGTCGGCGGTCGCACCTCCCTCGCCTGCTGCACCACTCGCGCTGTGCCTCGCGCCATCACACCCCCCCTCTGCTCCCCCTCTACCCCCCCTGCCCTGCTTGCGTCTCGCCTTGCCTGCCGCCTCACCGCTCCCCCGCGCTTGGCCTGGCAGTCGCGATGGATCAAGGGGCGAGGGACGAAGGCATGAAGGGGAGTGCACGCGGCAATGACAGGGAGTGAACGGTGCAAGGGAGGGAAAGGAAGGGGGATAGGAGAGCTACGTGTGGAGCATCCATCCGCCCATTCCCCTCTCGACCCGCCTGTGCGTTCCTTACCTGCCCTCGACGCGGAACGCGATGTGGCGCGAGTGAGGCGCGAGGCGCGATGTGAGAGGCGAAAGGCGAGCAGGGCTTGAGGTGCCCCGCGGCTACGCGTGCGGCGAGGCACACGGCGAGCAATTCGCGCGACGTGCGGAGAAAGGAGAAGGGGGCGCGGAGAGCGCAAACACGGCGCGGAGCCCCCCGGAAAACTAGAGCGGCGCGGGAAATGTGAGGGAGCAGGGGTTGAGGCGTGAGGGCCGGCAATGTTCTTCAACAGGGTGGTACTGAACTCACACAATTCGTGTGGGAAAAACGGAGGTTATAGGAAATTGAGTCAGGAATCAACATATCCTTACTTCGCGTCACCCTACATGCTCACAACAGTGTACACCCGTTCATGACTATTTCCATCCCGTCATCAAATCGCTGAGAATCTGCCGGGCCCTGTTTGGCATCATGGCCATTATGGCCACAATGGGCATTTCTAACGGGCCCCCAAAAAATGCCGACTGGGCATTTCGAGAAACAGCATCGAAATCGGATTGTAGATGCAGTGCCCATTCGGAAAAACGGGGTGGAGTGTTTGGTTGGCATTATTTGGGTGTAGATTGATGGCATCTATCTAGATTTCGGGTTTTGATGAAGATGGTAAGCAGTTGCCATGATGGTTCGCGTGATCATGTGATTGGCTGGCATATTTGACCAGTCACTTTTGATTGCCCCGAATCACTGATACCCCGCTTAGTGCGAGGCCTCGAGGCCGCATGGTGCGGGGATCAGAAAATGGGCACTTTGCCAGAGAAACTCGTTTGGGTGTAGATTCAGGCGGTTGAAAACGCCTGCAAAAAAAGGGGTGTTTGGTTGGCATTCCATTACTGTCAGGTTCGGCGTAGTCCGCTTATATCGAGCCTTGATAACCTTTAACGCGCTTATCAAGGAAGGTTCCAGGGTGGTCGGTTCACTGTAGCCCATCCCCCTCGCCCGTTTTTTTTAATGCCTGTCAAAATGGGCCCCGGTGAGGGTCGCCTGCCTCTCGAACAGCTCCGGCACTTCGGAAATGTAATGTACAGGAGGGGGAACAAACCTCGCGCCTTCCTACTCAGGCAACCCAAGCCCATCCCCCCTGCGCCCAGCCCAAACAATGGGATGACGAAGGAATGGCCTCGGGATTGGGTAGGGGGTAAAACCAAAACAAGAGGCGACAAAGTCGACCAAGGGTTGCGAAGCGATTTTCATACATTCTTAGAATTTTATAACTTTCAGTAAGTAGCATGAAACTAAATGGAACAATTCTTGTTTATGTTCTAAAAACATGCCAGCAGGAATCGACCTGGTGTTACGAGTGCAATTGAGTGAACGAACGAGAATTGCACTATCGAAGCAAGAGTCCAATGAGCGAAGGTATGAGCGAAGAATAACTACAGTGGTAACAGTAATGGACTGTGGTTGTCGCGCGACGGGCCTATGACTGAGGTTGGGGAAAATGTCGAAGTGGAGGCCCGGAGCGCGGGTTACCTGCCGAGCCGTGAGGTCGGTGTCAGAATCAGCAGTAAAAAGTAAGAATGAAGAAAGAGGGGTTCACTAGCAAGCACTTGGATACAAATAGCAAACCCTAACTGGGTTGTACTCGCTATGGAGCACCCCACTGCAGGCTAGATAACAAAACATTATGACACACCCCCATAGCCAAAGTGGGGTGTAATCAGCACAGTAAGCAAAGCAGAACAAGCTCAGGGTGGATCACAATGTCACCACACATTCTGAGCACAATTACAAGAACCAACAGTTTAAAGTTCACACTTATGAGCAAAGCTAGTGGTAGTCACAGCGGGCAAGTGAGGAGGAGGAGGGACTGTGAGAGGAGAGAAGATGGGAGACGACGGCTGAAGCTGCAGACACACGGGCTACAGGAGCGGCTGGCACAGTGGCTACCGGGACAGCGCCCCGGACTACTGGAGTAACTGGCTCACGGGCTACGACGAGCTACAGGAGCAACGGACCCACGGGCGACAGGCGCAGCAGGCTCTCTGAGCTACCAGGACAGCGCCCCGGAGTACAGGTGCTGCGGACGACAAGACGGCAGCCTCCTCTCAGCCTCCCCAAGCAGTCCCACACCCCCCCACACACACCCCCAGTTTCACCCCTAGCTCCACTCCCAAGGCACCCCCCTTAAACCCTAAACCCCAGTCTCTCACTCATCCACCCCCCTCAGCGACAGCTGCAGGAGTGGGAGACGAAGTAGGAGGAGGAGAAGGGGACGGCGCGCACAACCGAAACCGCCACAAGCACCACCCCCACACCCCTCACCCCCAAAACCCTAAAACGGGTGGGATAGGGGCAGGAGCGCGGGGGACGGCGAGGGGAGGGACGGCTCACGACCCCCAGGGTGCCAAAACGGACGGGCGGGGCAGAGGGGTGGCGCGCGCGGCTCCCCAGGGCGCCGCGACGGACGGGCATGGGGCGGGCGCGGCTCCCCAGGGCGCCGCGACGAAAGGGCAGGGGGCGGCAGGAAGAAAGGGTAGCGCGCTCGGGGCGCGCGACAGTAGTAGAGCAGCGGAAGCTTTAGGTGGTGGGCCCACCTACAGGATCGACCCAAGGGGATCGACCCTGCTCTGATAGCGTGTCAAGAAACTAACACAATAGGTAGTTAGGAGAATAGTTCGGCCTAGGCTTAGTAGCCTAGGCCAAGGAGGATCGAGTTGGTTGTGCCAAGGGTGTCGAGAGAATTTCGGGAAGAATGTGTTCACTATAGATTTGCAATCACATATATGCAAGTGAACAAAGGTGCACCACCTAACACAGTTTGTAATAACTACACTAACTACAGCTACAGGCAGTTACACATATAAACTCTGACACTCCCCCATAACTGCCTGCAGTAGGAGTTTGTGCAGAACACAACCTGCAGGGGTACACAAATAGCAGCAGCAGCAGGTAGGTAGGTAGGTAGTACAGCAGCAAAGGTACAGCAAGAATTCCTGCTATCTCCTCACTCTCCCCCTCCCCCTCCCCCCCACACTGCTGCAGAAGCAGCAGAGGGGGGAAGAGAGGAGAGGTGGAGGGACGGCTGCTGGATGGTCTCACACCCGCCACCCCAGTGCCACTCCCCCAGCTCCCCCACACCCTCACACCCTCCCCCCAGCGGCAACTGCAGCAGCGGGAAAGAAAGGAGGAGGAGGAGGGGAAGGGAAGTTGGTCTCACACCCGCCATCCCAATGCGACTCCCCCAACTCCCCCACACCCTCACACCCTCTCCCCAGCGGCAGCTGCAGCAGTGGGAAAGAAAGGAGGAGGAGGGGAAGGGAAGCATACCACCCATCACCCCAACACCCGCCACCCCCATACCCTCCCCCCCACGGCTGCAGGGAAACGAAGGAGGAGGGGGTGGGCGGGGAGAAAGCCGCAGAGCGGCTACTGATGGTTGGCGCGGGTAGGTCAGGGGCGGCTTCAGGGAGTGTAGGTGCGGGGTGAGGTAGTGGCGGCTGCACCGAGTGCAGGAGCGAGGGCGACTGCTCCAAGGGCAGGCGCCGGGTGATGCAGGGGCGGCTGCAGCAAGTGCAAGCGCGAGTGAGACACCGCCGAGTGCGCCAGGGGCGGGTACACGGCGGCTCAGGTAGGTAGGTAGGTAGTGCACCGTCGCACGCCACGGGGCGCACGACGGGCAGGGCACCGTCGCGTGCCATGGGGCGTATGACGGGCAGGGCACCGTCGTGTGCCACGGGGCACGCGACGGGCAGTTCAGGTAGGTAGGTAGTTTAGTTCCCCGTCGCACGCCACGGGGCGCACGACGGGCAGGGTAGATGTCACTCGCCATCCTAGGGCGGGACATTAATGAGAAATCGCCACGCGACCTAGGCGCGCGACCGGCAAAGAACAGCAGCGGAAGCATACGGCGGGCCCACAGGCCAGGACGAAACTTGCTCTGATAGCATGTCGAGAAACTAACACAATAGGTAGTTAGGAGAATAGTTCGGCCTAGGCTTAGTAGCCTAGGCCAAGGAGGATCGAGTTGGTTGTGCCAAGGGTGTCGAGAGAATTTCGGGAAGAATGTGTTCACTATAGATTTGCAATCACATATATGCAAGTGAACAAAGGTGCACCACCTAACACAGTTTGTAATAACTACACTAACTACAGCTACAGGCAGTTACACAAATAAACTCTGACAGTCGGGGTGCGACGTGCGAAGGTGGCGGGCGGATTGTCGATGCGAGGGTTGCGAGTGGTAACGGTGCTGACTGTGGTGCTATAGTGATGTACGCGTTGAGCAGGGATGCGAAGTAAGGAAAAGGAATTTTCCTTACACTACCCTCTCCCCTAAGGAGGTCCTCCTTATGAAAGTGCGTGTACATCCCGGAAGTTTCGGCTGCGCAGATACTCGGTGAGGACGGGGTGGTTTTCGATTCTGTCCAGGGGAACCCAATTGTCTTCGGTGGGTGTACGATCTTTCCAGCGGATCAGGAACTCGATCCTTCGGGCTCCTCGAGGGTCGCGAACTCTGTGAGTCAGAATCTTCTCCGGGTTGATTATTGGTTCAGTCGGCGGTCATGTCATGCTGGCTGGACGATTGCGTGGGAGCTGGCTCGTGGACGGGACGCAAGGGCAAAGCAGGCTGACGTGGAGTGAGGGGCTGACGTACTAGTCAGTAGGGAGGAGGAGGTGGGCGGTAACGGGCGTAATCATGTGGCTTATGCGAAATGGCCCGCAGTATCGAGGGCGGAGTTTCGGGGTGATGGGCAGTCGGAGGTTCTGAGTGTC